CTTAATTATTTGGCCATTGAAAAATGTTGCGCAGCTTTGTACGCAACCCAAGTGGATTTTAATTTTTACAAAGTTAAACATCGTCGACGACCCTTTTTTACGGATAATGACTAGACTGGCCCAGCTGGCTGGATTGGACTGGATAGCATTCGTTGGTCATGTTTGTTTAAATATCGCATGATTTGCACATTTTTTGGTCGCCTCGCTTTTTATTGTTTACCTTCTGACTGTTTGCTGATTGATCCCCTGGGTGGGTCGCGTCGACACGGGCTGCAACGCCTCCGTCATGTAATTAATTTTCCTTTGAATTACAACTGCGCTGCACAGTCCGAATGAAGGGGGAAAACCCATCAAATTGTCACGTAATTATGTTTGTGTTAATGATTTTTCATGCGCAAAAATGAAATAAAGCAAAAATGTCTGCCATGAAAAGTCAATTAATATTTTGGCATTTTAGATTAAGCTTTTCTTTGTGGCTTTTTGCTTTTTTCCAACCTCGTTCGCTTACTTAATTAAAATGTTTTGCCCCCTCCCTATCGGATGCACCCTGCGAGGTTTAATTCTTATTACCGCATGTTGTTTCATTTAATTTCGCTGTGGCTTAGGATCTGGCGCAAAAGTCATTCAACCCGAATCGTCATTGTCGTTACCGCATGAAGCAGGCACGCGACTTGCTGATTGATAGTGATGATAACATGGAGGTCATTAAGTAAGCTTTAAGTGTCTTTAAGTCGCATTTAAATAAAAACTTGTTTTCTTTTTGTTTTGCCCATGCCTTGTCTGACTGCTGCGAACAAGACAAACTTGAAAATAGTACTCGTGTTTGGTCGCATAATGCATTGAACTGACCTTGCTTCTTACATCAGAAGCTTGTTTGTTTAAGGTCAACTCTTCCAAGTTGCCTTTGTATTGGATTGAAAGACACTTAAGGGAAAGCAAACTAAGCATTATCTCCTTACAACTTCAAACAATTTTGATAATCTTAAATGGCTTCTAATAACAATTGACTAAATGAATGGGCAACAACAAAATAGAGGTAACTAAGTAATGTTAATTACACAGGGATCTGATGACAAACACAGTTAGCTTATGGTGGGTAATCATCCGCCTAGAAAATATCACGAACGTAAACAGTAAAAACAGTTCATGTTTAAAAGCATCCGAATATGAATTTTAAAAAACAAAAAAATTTTATTACTAAAGCCACATTCATTTAATGTTATTTTCTTGACAAACATGCATTTATTTATTTATTTATTCTTATTGTTCTGTAATTAAAAGAAATATATTAATATTGTTGGATTAATTAAGTTCATTCAAATTTGTTCGGTTACTTGGTTTATAACAATTAACAATGTTTCACAAATGTCCGTTTAATTCAAATTTCATTAAGCGTCCTCCTTCTTTGACTGGTCAATATCAATTGACCTCTTACTTCCCTGCTATCGGTTACTATCGATTATTGATTACTTACCACTATTTAACTATTCGCTCACTATTCGTTCACGGCTTAATTATTGTTAGTGATTAGGGGTGTTCCTACTATCTATATTCCTACAATATTTGACAAAATCTTTAATGTGCACTTTAAAAATGAAAAAAAAGCAATGGTTTCATAAATGAAGCCATGCTATTTTGGTCTAGAGTTAGATTTACTTTTGGATTGTCTTTATAGTTTGTGGGGTAACTATCTTATTGTTTTTAACTTAAGCTATCACTTGGGCGCATATTTATTGTTCTTCCATTACATATGTATGTATATTCGCCTACCTTTTAGTTTGCTGCGTATTTTCAGCACTTATTTAATTGCAAACTCTGCTGCTTTTAAGAATGCTAGATTACTCATACGCCGCATTAGACGAAAACGTGTGTAGATGGCTTATACTGGGTTAATACGCGACGCAAATGCTAATACCAGCCTAGGTAGCTTGAGTTTGCACTTGTCATGTAAGCATTTTGCCTGCCAGCGTACGTGACACTGCATGCTCCCAGTTCCATGACAGAGGCATACCAGCCCGATCCGCTGCTCACGTGCTGCATATTCATGTCATTGGTATGGGTGGCGGCTCTGAATGCAAGGAAAGTGGCGAGTGGCAGGAGTGGAGCGGCGCGGGGCAGCCAGCAGACGGTAGCCAGCACATACATACATCACTATGAATTACTATTAATGGCTTGTAGTATAAATTGAATTTCATTACATGACGGCGTCAATTAAAAGCATGTAAAACTCAATCAGCAATGACGTTTTTAAAATGCAGGCGAAGTATCAGCGATGTCGCTTGTACCGGGGTGATGGGACACAGCAGTTAATGAGTCGGCAAGTGACTGATAAAAATATATACTATATATAAATGTGTACTATATTGAAATCGGTCTCTGATGGTTTGCTTTTGTACCGCTTGTTGGCTCGTCGTTTCGTTCTGGCCTTTGTCATGTCGTGACGTGGCGCAAAGCATTCGAAAGTGACAGGAAACATTGATAAAAGTGGAAAGTGACGGGTGCTCATGATTTCCTACTTAATGGCCAGCCTGTTCATGAAAGACACCTCCCGTTGGAAGAGCTTTAAGGCGCAGGAAAAGTTTACATATTTAGCATACGCATGTGACAATTAACAATTGTCAATGCCAACTTTTATAATTAAACTTTTGGCGCACAGATTTTTTGCGACACAATACAAAAAAATTCAAATCTAATTACAACTTTTACATGGAATTCTGCAAAATATAAAAATAACAACTTCAAGTTGCAGCAACAGTTTATTTGTACACCCTAGTTTTCAAAGTGTATGGCTAAATTTATTCTGAATTGTAGCGTACTTATTTCTTATTTCTTATTAAATATAAAATTAAAAAAAATGCTTTTTAATGGACAATTGAAATATACGTTATAATTGGATATACTTAACTAGAATGTTCATGTTACAAGACAAAGTGTAGGGTATATACTACAAGTATATAGCTTCAGCGCAGACCAAAAAAAGAACAATTTGGCTCTTTCGTTTTAATTTTTTATCCTTACACAATATTCCGTAGTAAGAATTCATTTATGCCAAAAGCTCATTAACAATTATGACTTTATCATTGTGGACGTCGCCGTCAAGAGCAAGTCGCTTTAAGTACAAACTCAATGGAATTGACGAAGCCTTGTTGCAGTTGCCCCTCCAATGCGGCGTTTAAGCATTGTGCAACATTGTGTGTAAGGCAGCTCAGAATATGGTTGCCCCGGTACATTTTGCTTTTGCCTCATTTTCAGTTTAACTTTTCAAGTTTTTAATTCTTTGAATCTTAATGACTTCTTGTAATAAGTTTTCATTTCTCATAATTTCTTAGGTTAATAGAATTTTTGCAACGGCCGTGCAGTGCGAAATGTAAGTGCGGCAAACACAGTGGGTACAGTTCAATATATATATGTTCCGTTCAGATTGGTGTGAAATCGGTTCTCTTCAGAAGCGTATGAAACACAATTGTTACAGAATGTTTTTCTTTTCAACAGCTTATCATTTCATAAAATATATGGGTTTGAAAACAAATTAAACTCTTAATACAATTAAAAAATATTTAGATTGGTTTGCATTTTTCAACCTTTCTATACAATGTTTCATTTTCTTTGCAAAAAACAATCAGGATAGCATGGCCATTGACAAATTTTTTTAGTGTTTGTAGGTTAAAAAAATAAATGTAAATAAAAATTCAAAAAACTATATATAGAATGGCAAGAAACATTTGACTTCATTTTTTACATGAACGTTATATTTGACAAAATATACTAAATTATTTTTAAATCCACATTTGACTAAATGCGTGTATTTTACATATTATCATATTTTATAATATACTTTGTGCCACTGTGCGTAGAGCATAGAAAGTTTTCCTTTGCAACAAAAAACTATAATTATGAAGTTGAGACAAAGTCAGTCAGCAGCAGCACCACTAGCAGTAGGACAAACGCAGACGACAATAATGAGGGGGACGAGAACGACTGCTAGAGAGGGGCTGGCAAGACTGTCGTCAGTCTCACCATGATCCTGTCAAAGGGGAAGCACCAGAAAGGCATAAAAGTCGACTGTGGCACAAAACGCAGCGGGGCTACAATTGACATTTATATAAGTATAAGAAGAGCGCTGAGCTTGCTGACCTAAAGTTACGAAATGGCCAAGTGTTCTTGAGCATGAGCATAAAAAGAAGGGTAGAAGAGAAGAAATCAAAGCGCCTGGCTTGGCGTATCAGCGTTAAATACTTTGGGCCGCCAACTAAGACCGCTAATCATAAATTCAAAAGCGGCAAAAGTGCAACGCAGTAACAATTAACTTATTAAATGGGATTTGTTCAGTTGCGGTGCGGCCAAAACAAAGGCGAGCACCAAATGCGAATGCCGCTGGGGGAAGGAAGCCTGCCGACAATGCTGACGACACCGAAAGGATGTGCGCGTGGAAATGCTGGAAATGAAAGCGAACGAGGCGTGAAGGCACACAGGCAGGCAGGCAGGCAAAAAAAAAGGACGAATGAATGTAGAAGAAGTAGCATGGCGGGGAATGGCAGAAATAAAGGCGTACATGCACAGTTGCCACTCACTTGCGTAATTCATTTAGCTACTCCCCCAACCGAGAAACAAGAAGCATGAGGAGTGGCAACAACGACGACAACAGCAACGGAAATTTGCCTTCCTTAGCTAACGACTGCCTGGCTGGCACTCTTGATTACTTGCTACTTTCACTAATTAGCAAAATTGATTTGAAATTTATGGCGCGCAAAATTGTTCAACCGTGTCTATGTCCCTATTACTGTCCCTATCCCTGTCCCAGCACCATCTCTAATTGAAACTAAATGTTGTGCATTAAATGTAACTTACGGCTGATAAAAAATGGAATTGAAATGTGTTTGGTTGTTTGTTATTATTGCCACTGCATTGCTAACATATTTTCACACTCTCTCTCACGATTTCTTCGTCTCTTTCATTTTTGCAGTTGTTGTGACATTTTGGCACACGCCGCATAAAACGCAATGGCGCCAAAGATGACGCCATTTCCACATCGAGGCAAAATGGCGGCGTCGCAAGCGGAAAAACTCTGGCTCCGTTGCATACTGCTCTGTGCCTGCGTTGGCGCCGCCGTCGGCGGAAAAGGTAAATGAAACATATTTTGAATACACACACATAGGTATATGCATGAACAATAGGTATGGCTGTGTGTGCGTGTCTGATTTAAAATTAATTTTTCACATATTAAAGACTTACCTGCGGCAAATTGCACAAAACTAATTACCTGTCAAAATCATATTGCCATACACGAGACACAAAACAATGCACTTTTTATTGTTAGATTCTCGCCGCGCAAGATAAATATTATTAATTAAATTGTTAGTTTTGCTCTATAAATGATTTTAAATAAACTTTAATTGCATTTTTCACACGCTGCAAAAAGTGTAATAAATAGCTCAACCGGACGTATTCGATGTCACCTGAAACTAGTTTTCAAACGCAGCCATAAAATCATACGCTATAATATATAGAGTATAGCAGAGTATTCTGAATTTCTATGACAATAAACAATGCCAATACTAACTAGAGGGGAAACCAATAAGTTTTATAAAGCATTTTTTAAGCTTTCTCATGGTAAACACGAGGATATAGCTAGGATTGTATGAAATTGAATCACTTTGATGGTACAACTAAAGGCATCGAGGATAGACAAATTATGAATTTGATTTTCTCTTCAAAACCGAAAATATTTCCATGTGCAAATGTGGTAAACACGTTCTTAATTAATTATAAATATTTAAAATAAACATTGAAAATGTAATGGCATTTAATAAAACGTATCTTTATTTGTTCGATTCCAAAAATAACAAAATACATTCTTCAAACGAAACGCACGCCATTTTTACTGAAATTCTAATAGCGTTTACATTAATTTATTTACATTTCCTATTATCGACTATTTTGCAATGGCAAAGAAACAAATTTAGAATGTAAATATTATTCAAAGTAATAAACTCGAACACGTCGATTAATTTTTAAAAATATATAAGCTGTAAGCGATATTTTCTTTACGCTTTAAATGTTACTTCCTTCCTATTTTTTTTCTCCCTGTGATTGTTTTCTGCAATATTCAATCAATTTCAAATTTATTGCATTTACATGCAATTCTATATATGAGTATGCGCGTGACAACTTATTTACTACATATTTTAGCACTTAAATTAATTTCCAAAAAATATATCTGCGGAAAAAGCACTTAGCTGACGCTTAAACAAATTGCCTATCACGAATACAGATCACACATGCAACAATGCATAAAAAACGCTTTAAAACCCATCGACTGGCATACAGCTGACTAAGCAGCCGTACTGTCCTGTCCGGCACTGTAACGTCCATTGTCCTGCCATTAAAATATCAGTTACAAAATGCAAGGCAACGACTAGCAATGTCACAGTTAACTGATGGCACTGATAGCAACAAACCAAATCCTCTGGATGACACACAACCGCGAGACCAACAAAAAATACAAATAATAATAAAAATAAAAACCGAATAAAAATAAAATTTAAATAATAAAAAAGAACGCAACAACATGATACATTGGTCAAAAAATATATATTTTGATATGGAAAATGTTATATACGTTTATGTATATAGCTGTGATGCAAAGGACGATGGCACGTGCTGGTCCAATGCATATGCATGTCCGTAGCAATTTTATTCCAATATTGCGACAATTTTTTTGTTATAGTATTAAAATTTAGATTTTCAATTTATTTAGCTTACTGCACATACATAAATACATGCATACACACATATATACAAGCATGTACGTGTAGAAACGTCGACATTCGCTGCTGTCTCTTCTTGCTTTTTGATTTGTTGCAGTAGCGTGAAATTGGTCAGCAGAAATTGCAACGGACACCGTACGTGATTTGATTTTCTGCTCCGAAATATAGTCAGCAGCAGCGATATATTGCTGCTGACTGGCCAAGCAATGAAAGCGGGCATTGCAAGCATTTGTGCAATCGCATTATTTAGGGGTATTTCGAATTTTTAAAGCCGAGATGAAAGTGAAAACCGGCAGCTTTAAATTCTATTTAAAATTGAATTAGCAATTCTGTTAATAATCCATTGCCTCTTTTCCCATTGCTACTAAGTACTACTCTTGCTGCTGTTGCCGCTGTTGCCGTTGCTGCCACTGCTGCTGCACGGCAGTTGAATTCAAATGGCATTTGCCTGCTGCATCGGCGAGCTGTCCGTGGGTTTATCAGCAGTCAGCTTGCGGAAAACGCCACCAAGCAGCTAACAGACAAGGTTGCGGGCAGGAGGGCGGGTGTGCTGGGAAGCAGTCATTTCCTAACTACAGCTACGTCTACGGTTACGGCTAATAGCACTGCCATCGTTCTGAAGTAGTGTGCTGTTACAGCAACAACAACAAATGCAGTAGCAACGGCAGTAACAGCAACAGCAGTAATAGCAATGGAAAACGGGCACGGAATCAATGGAATGAAATCTGCAGTGGCACATGAAACAAGCAGCGAAAGCAAATTAGAAATTGCAAAAATTGCTGAGGCATTTGCCGTTACACTTGCAATTGTTGTTGTTGCTTTTGCTGGTTGGTTGCATCTTTAGCTGGATGGCTGGTTGGCTGGCTGGCTGGCTGACTGCCTGGTTGGCATACGCTTGTATCTCTTGCCACATGCACTGATGACTGTCAACACGCTGATAAGTGATGCCACTTCAAGTTCCTACTGCTGCCGTGGCAGCCCTTCTCTTGACTCTTGTTTTGTGGCAATGCCTGTCCTCTGGCCGTGGACTGTATGTACAAGTAGTGACCCAGACAAATGCTAATTTTATTATGACAAATGCGCCAATTCAGGCAAAAGTGTAGAATTATTCTGCTATGCTTCTGAGATTTGCCCCGACTGTCAGGCACTGTGTTGGCCTTTGGGCTTTATAATCACAAGTCTAGACATTTTGCTCCTACTTCTACATCTCTACAAAATAAAAGGGCAGTACTTATGTATTATGTAAGCAAAGTCAACCCTTTAGATTTTCAGTTGCTCATCTATTGCGCATCCGGCTATCTGTCCCAAACACATAATATGCTCATACAACGTTCTGGTCGGACAGAAATTTAATCAACCTCATTAACTTCCATGCTTTTTATTGAGCTCTAAGTCCATTGCTTTCTAAGGAACTCAATATACCAATTACCACAATTACACAGGATATAGAGAAAGCTGCAAAAATGTGTAATTATTGCCCATATAAGAGCCCTAGAACCTTAAGTGTAATCCCACAAATCTGTAAGCTATCACATCGATTGGCTCTTACATTACTAATCAATATCCACAGGTTAACAATTTTTGAGGCAAAAGTGGATCAATAAGATACTTCAAGATACTTCAAACAAACACAAAAAGACATATCTTTAATTGAGTCATTCTTATATTATATTTAACTTTTAGAAAGCAATAAACTTATTTCCAATGTACAAGTATATTGGAAAAACCAATTAAAGTTCTCATTTTATGCTAAAAGTCAATTTTCATTTACTTGTAAGTGCATTTGGAAGGGTAACAACCAAAATAAAGCGAGCAGACACCTCATAATCGATTTATATTTATAGAAATATGTTGATACTATTCGCCTTCCTTACCAACCTCAAAAAGTAAACTGATAGATGAAATAGCAGGGACTACTAAAGTTGTAGTGATTTAAATAGCTTTCAAATCCTCAAAAATCAATATTTTAGTTGCATTTGTTTCATGAATTTGTAAAATACGATATTATTGCAAGAAAATAAAGTATAACAAAGTATTCTTCTATCCTTACTTACGGTAGCCAATTATACAATTATTTGTTGACTGTAATTTATCCAAGAACATTTATATCAGTGAACATAATATTGTTACTTAAGTTGCTTCTTGCTCTTTAAGTTAATCTCTTCAAAAGATATATTAAATTGCTAAGTCAAATGTGCTTGAGAAATATATTATTATCAACTTACAAACTTAGCCTTTCTTACAAACAAATTATTCGCGAATCAAAATATTCCGCTGTATGCTGTTGAGTCATAGATGCTTGCTTTGCAATTAAACAACTTTACAAGCCCGTTCATTTAAAGTGTTATCTGGTAATCTTTTAAGCTTGCTATTAAAGCAATTAGACCTGAAACGATTGCTAGGTAGTTAGACGCAGAGCATCAGTTCATTCACTCAATTCTTCGCAGACTGCTTTCATTAATCTTTGATTCATTGTTCGCTTTGGGATGATCCAATTAACTTTTTCGCCTCGCAGTCAGAGCTACCGTCTTACACACTCTGGACGATTGTTGTTAACCACCATAAGACCAAAACTGAAATAATGCCAGACACATCAGCAAACATTACACAAATGATAGCTTATTCGCAGCGAGCACGCCTAATTGAAACTGATCGGAAAGGCAAGCGATACATATACTCGTAGACCGCAGGCAATTACATGAAGCCAACGCAAACAAGCGCTTTGGCACTTTCATGCACCACCACTGGGCTGGTGGTGTGTGTAGAGGACACGGACGGACTAACAAAGTAGTAGCAGCGCTTAACTTAAGTAGACATTTAGTTGGCATTAAAAAACGCCCACAGTGGGCACACAAGTACTGGAATCTGTTTGACTAACAAGCTGCAGACGTGGCGACTGCCAGTACTTCAACACCAAGCCAACAAATTGCAGACACAAACCGAGGGCGCAAATAGAGATCGTAGCCGGACAGACAGACAAATAGACAGACAGACAGACAGACAGACAGACAGACAGAGGGAGAGATACTCTAGTCGAGAGTGCGAGCAAGCGGCTTGTGCATGCGCATGCGCACGCCTTCAGCTGTCTGTTCTAATCTAAATAAGCGATTTGTCTGCGCATAACTTTTGCCTTAACCGGACCATGGACCATCGGCTGTGTGCTGTGGGCTGTGGGACGTTGTATCTTGTTTGCTGTGGCATGCAGCAGCCGGTTAGAAGACGTCGCATAGCGTTTGGTAAATAATAATTTGTATAATTTATACCTGGAACACTGGGCAGCAACAGCAGCAGTTAAAGAATTTATTACACGATCGCTGCATATGGAGTTGCAGTTGCAGTTGGAGTTGGGGTTCC